ATATAAGTATAGATAGATATAGATATAGATATATATAGATATAGATATATATAGATATAGATATACATATATAACAGGTGCTGCTTTCATTACTAAAATTTGTTTATACTTTCAATTACGTTTTAGTTGTTTATATTAAAAGTATATCACGCATTAATGCAATTTCCTTCAAATTACTTGTGTGCTTAAACAAGTATTTAATTTAATTATACTGAAATTTTGTATTTAAAATTAAAAGCTATTTTCTTATTTGAAAAGATAAAGTATATCTACTTAATTACATTATGTATAAAGAAGACTGACATAATTAATCAGTTACTTTATAAAGAGTGTATGAAACACTTTAGTAGAATATCTATTTCATCTGCATATTGTTTTAGTTATTTTCTGAAACCACTCCCATCGAAAGGACATAGTATGCAAATAAATACATCAGAGTTTCATTCGAGATTCAAATACATTTCCTGATATTAGTCCAAGACTATCCCATCATGAATTATATCAGTTTCTATATTGAAAGTCATGGTCGGCTCAAAAAAGCCCCCGCACTTTCTCATAAACCTAAGAATTCGGGTTATAATGATAACATAATAATAAAGATAAAACCAATCCGATTTTAATCACATCTATGACGCAGTCATCAGCGTCTCAGTATAAAACACCATAATTACTCAAGAGGGATTTTAAGAATTTATATTTTTATAATTGACAATAAATAATGTCCTCTGTTAGCTATCGTGCAATTCGGATGTCAAGAGGGATTGAACTAATGAACTTGTAACAACTAAACGATAAGAAGAAAGAGGGAAAATATTGCATTTGTATGAATTAAACGCTACTCGTGCAGTTAAATATTTGAATAGATTAGTTTGCCCAGTATTAGCTCCAAAGTGTAAATATGGTTAGTGAGCAAGCAGCCAGAACAAATTCTAAATTATTAACAAAGCTTTAACCTTGGAGCACTTGGAAAGGTTGTTCTAGCTTTGCAAAAACCACATGTTCAGCTTCATTTAAAATGAAAATTGAGCACCCTTTTATGGAAGGTGGAAATGGAGTGGGCCCTGCTACTTTTGAGAACCGTAGCACATGCATCGCAATGTATATAATCCGTTTTATATAGAGACAGGAAAAGAAGAAAAGCTGGAACGTTGCTATATAAATATTTATAGTGAATTATAAACAATTGTTATCTTTGTATGCCATCATCGCAGCGCTGTCATCGGAATACAATGCACGGCACTTGAGCTGTGTATTCCCGTCTCGATCTGAATGCGTCTCGCCTGAAGTCGAGAGCAAGCACATATAGATATGGTGTCACACTCTGGAGAACCCAATACCAATACCCATCCTTATCAGGTGCATGGGTACACATGCACTGTGTGCCGGCAGTATCGATTGTATTTATAGAACATCGAACGTCGAGCGTCACCTAACGTCAGCCAATCGGTATTCGGTGTTTGGTATTTGGTATTGATCGAGCCACCTTACTCAGTCTCTTTATAAACAAAATCTATAATATGCTATATATTTGATATGTATACAGTACAAAGGTCTCGCTGTACCGGTTGAATCAAACTCTTAATGGAAAATGAATGGAATTGATTATTCTATATCAGATTCATTAATTCATTTGGCAGAGATTAATAAACCAACAAGAATTTTCTAAATTTTATAATAATTTTATTATGTCATGGAAATATGTGTTGTGATTTCTACAAGGAACACTAAGAGAAGACTAGTTAGGTTCCCTGAGTTGTTCGAATATCCCTAGTTATTTCATAAATATTTGAAAAATTGCTATAAGTGCATATAAATTTACAGCAAATATTTAAAAATTTATTTTAAACAGAAATTATAAAGCTTTATAAATTAATAAAAAAGTTATTACAAAGTCAAACCATTAATATACAATATATATAT